CCAGTTTGTGCACAAGGGCTTTCTTTTTAGATGCTAGAACCAGCCAAGCTCTTATATAAAGTAAGTGTCCTTTCTGCCTTTTAAAATGGTTGGGTTTTCTTTCTATGGATTTCCATTAATATGCATATTTAGGTAGAGAAATATTGTATCTTATTTCTATGGAGTCATTTATATAATAGAAACTGAAATTCAGACCATCTTATGAGGTGTGTAAATATGACCAGAAGCTAAAAAGCATTGGGAGCATCTAATAAATGTCATAAGTTATTTTTTTGTTGTAGCAACATTATTTTAAAGAGAATTCTATTGAGAGTGACTATGAGGATTTATTAGTTAGTATTTATAAATCTATTTAAGCTGCTCAGATAAATGGAAAATCTAAACAGTTATGGTCAGGAAGGCTGAAATGGGTTTGAGCTTGGTGACATAAAACTTTCATCTGTTGGCCTCTTTCCTCATCTGCAGGCAAACACTCACTCATTTGAAGCTTTGGTGTTGAAGATTTCAAAGGAAGGACCCAAGATGTAAGTAAGCAGAAGGTATGGGTTTCTTGAAATTTATTTTCCTTAAGTTTGACACTCAAAAGAAAAAAATATGGTATTAATTTGATGGTCATACACAAGAAAGAGGTACTTTCCCCTGTGAGGCAGTGCATCATAGGGGTTGAGCGTGAAGGCTTTGGAGCCAAACTCCCTGGGTTCACATCCCAATTTTGCCACTTGTTAGCTGTGTGGCTTTAAGCAGGTCACTTAACCTCTCTGTTTTTATCTCCATCCTTTAATAACTTGGATATCTGGATGGCAATGTACCAAATGGCATATGTCTTTTCTACCAAACACTTTTTTGATTATGAGTGCATAATATATGCAGAGTGTGTAGGTAATGCTTTCTTGGTCAATATTTGCATCTGCAAGATAGCATTAACCACCATTCCTTGCTACAATAAGGAGATGTACTAGAAAAACCAGTGGAAGCTCACAGAATGGAAGAGAGGCAGGAGAGCCACATCTGGGGAAAGGGCAGGAATCAAGGATGCCTTGAGAGGCAGGTAACAAGAGCCAAACCCAGGTCACTCCTGGGACTGGTCTGGCTTTCAGAGCTCCTCTGCTACCCAGAATGCATCTGACCTCCAAACATCTCCTCCTGTTCTGTCCGCTCCCAAGCTTCAGAGTCTTGGGAAGCAAGGATATTTGGCCGAGTTTCTGGCATGGCTCTTCCTGACCTTCTTCCTGCACTGTATCAGGAGTGGGTAAAAGATGTATTTGAACCTCTTGGTTTCCATAGCAGGAGGTGGCAGTGGAAAGCACTCACTGGAGTCTGTCCTCCTGTCAAGATTAGATAAAATGGAGAATTCTACCAGTAGGAACATGTGGTGTTTCTGTGTAGTAAAAAAAAAAAAAACCCCACAAATCTCTGCTTTACTTATATAAGACTTCAAATTTTCCTCAGGAGCTCCATGAGCCATGGTGTGGTGGTTAAGTGTTTAACAAATGACTCTGGCCCTGATTTGTAGCGTTCGTACATTTCCAAGGGCAAAGGCTCCTACCGTGGCCAATTCCTGGCTACCCACATGACATCTGAACACAGTTGAGAAGAGACGTACAGCAATATACTATTATATAATATGTAGCCATATAGTTACAACAGATGTACATAACCTCAGGTGCATAGATAATAGTGAAATATAGTAAAATAATGTGGAAGTAATGAATTTTGAGTATTTATTACCTTTGTTGTTAACATTATTTAGTTGTAAGCTTACACGATTTAATTTTTCATAATAGCTGTATTTTAGCAAATGCCTTGCAAAAGTTTTCAAAAAAATGTTGTGAGTCAGCACACTACTGCCTTGAGGATGGATCAATAATGTTATTGAGAGAGAGATCTTACACAATACAGTGCTTGGTGAGAGGCCTGGGACCTGGACATTTTATACAGTACATTTTTGTACATTGGGGATCCTCAGTAACAGATTGATAATAGTATCTGACATTTACCTAACAAAACACATTCTTATTCAACATTGCATTCATTTTTGATCCTCACAACAAACCCAGGGAAAAGGTACGCAAGGTATATTATAGGTGAGGGAACTGAGTCAGAGAACCGAAGTGACCACTGACCAGTGGAGTGGAAACTAGATTGGGGTCCTTGAGACTTCCAGTTCCCAGCTTTTTCCACACCAACCTGTTTCTTTGAACCCCTTGCCATCCCTGGAACAGCTATTTATTATGGGCAGACCAGTAAATAATCTGGGATATGTATGTCAGCATTTATTTATTCCCGGAATTCAGCCCAGGGGGCCCCTCCCATCTCTTCACAAATAAACAATGAAATGAATTTGGAGGCCAACAGAATGGACAATGACAGTATGTTGCATTAGCAGCTTTGATGGCCAGACTACAAGATGGCCCCCGGCCGTCGTTACCCCTGGTGTTCATGTCCTTGGACTCCTTCACTGAGTAAGGCTCTGTGTGGGACTGACAGGACATCGCAGAAGTGATAGCATACCACTTCTTACGCTAGCTGCGAAGAGCGCTGCACTTTCTGTCGTGTTCTCTTGGGTCACTGGCTCTGGGGGAAGCCAGCACAGTGTTGTAAGGACACATAAGCAGCCCACCAGGCAAAGAGCTGAGGCCTCCCAGCAACAGCCAGCACCACTTGTCAGCCATCTAAGTGAGCCACCCTGGAACTGGATTCTCTAGTTCCATTCAAACCTTCAGGTGACTATGGCCTTGCCTGACATCCAATTGTAACCTCATGAGAAACCCCAGGCCAGAATCACCGAGTTAAGTGCTACCAAACTCTTGACTCTGTGAGAGTGTCTCAAACCATGAGAGAGAACTAAGGTTTGTGTTGTCTTAAGCCACTAAGTTTTGGGCAGTTTGTTACACAGCAGTTGATAAACTGGATTTCTTTACAAGCTGCACCGTATAGGTTATGGGTGATCTTAAATACAGAGAGGTGTTAGGGACTTAAGGGAGCATTTCGAGTAATTGTTTATTGTTGTTTTATTTTTGCTTTCCACCAAGGAAATTCAATTTCAAGTCAAGGTTCTGAAGCTTTGTACAATATAACTTTTGAAATGCGTTTTGTTCTTAATGCTTTCCTAAATGAGCTGTTGTCCATGGAAAAGAGCACTCTGTACTGAGTGCATCTGCAACTCTGGAGAGCAAGGCAGCTTGAACTGGAATTCACTTTGGCACGGTGAAGTCACCTCAGCCCTCTAGACCCCACCTTCACTGCTATCTTTCATTCTTTTGGGTTTCTGGGCCATGGCATCTTTCCCCTTTGGGAAAACCAGGACAGGGGAAAATAATGAAAGAAATTAATTAGGAAGGGAGAGGGCTAGGGACCCATTGAATGTTGGGGGTGGAGATCTTAAGATCATTTGCCAAACACCAGCCCCAACACCCCTTGGGGGACTGAGCCATGACCCCTTCTCCTGGTGTCCCCGCCCGCAAAATTCGCTCCTAGAAAAATCCGCTCACGTCCCCAAGAGCGCAGGAGAGGATCTCAGCGAAGCGGGAGGCTCTTGTGCCTGCTGGGAGAGGCGGAGCTGGGATTAACCAGCTCCTTGGCGCTTTTCCTCCGAGCTGGGGGAGGACGAGCACGGACCGCGGAGTAGGCGCCCAACGTGGGGCGCCCGTACGCGGGCGGAGGAGACCCGGAGGTGGGAGAGCGGGCTGCAAGCCTTGCCCCGCGGCCGCTACCCGCGCCCAGCGCGCACTGCCACCGAGCGCCGGCGCCTCCAGCATGGAGTGGGAGCTCAACTTTCTGCTCTACCTGGCGCTCTTCTTCTTCCTGCTCTTCTTACTTTTCCTCCTGCTCTTCGTGGTCATCAAGCAGCTGAAGAACTCTGTGGCCAGCACGGCCGGGGCGCTCCAGCCCGGGCGTCTCTCCGTGCACCGGGAGCCTTGGGGTTTCTCCCGCGAGCAAGCGGTGTGACCCGTAAGGCGCGGGCACTAGCGGGAGGGCACGGAGCTGCGCGGGCGCCGGGCTGGGTCTCAACCTCGATTCCCTGTGCGCGTGGCCGCCCAGGTTCCAGTGCCAGGCTCGGTTGTAGCGTTGGCAGGTTCGTTCGGGTGTGGAAGGGGTCTGCGGAGGGGCGAGTTTCTCCCCCCCTCGGGGTGGTTCTGGGCTCGAAGCACGCTCGGTTGCCAGGCGCGGCGGGTGTATGGGGTCTGGGCTGGCGCTGTGCTCTAGGGGACGGACCCTCAGCTTTTCCGGGGTCGAGAGATGGAGAAAGAGAGATGTTCGGCGGTTGGAGCCGAATGGCTTTGGGCACCTGCAAGCTCTTCTTCCCAGTCCCACTGCATTTTAGCTTGTGCGGAAAGGAAGGAAAACTAAATCAGATAATTCAATCCAACCACTTCCAAACCAAATTTGATATCCCAAATCGAATGTCAACCTTAATGTCCAAATTACTGAGAAAGTGTGGGCTTTGGGACAGGAAGCAGGAGGAAAGAGTATGCCAAATACTGCTTTAAATATCTTTGCGCTTTGGCAGACGCTAAATGGGGTTCGTCTGACCGTGCCAGAGAGGATTCAGTGGCCCTTCTTCCCCTTAATCCCTACTCCTCTTCTAGCCACCGACCCCAATGATGCCTGATGAGTTGCCACACCAGGTGGGTTTAGAATCTCAAACGGCGGGAGGGTGAGCGTTAGCGAGTCATTTGGGAGATGCCTTGGGGGTGATGAAAAGAGGTATACTGTTCACACGTTGTAAGGCAACAGGAAAAAGAGGAGCAAGGCTGTCGTTTCAGGTTACGTGACTAGAGCATTTGCCAGAAGATTGGCGGGCAGCATTAAACTTCTTATTAATATGCCCTAAGCACCCTCCAGGCACTGTCAGTTTGGGGGAATAACAGTTTCATCTTCCAGATGCTTTTTCCTCGATTTATGTCGTCTCGAGTTCTGGAACCGAGCTGTTGCGCTGAAGACCACCACTGCAGTTACAGCTGGTAAGAGGCAGCCTTGCACGGAGAGGACCGGGACAACCCGAGAGGGACCTTCGCTGCAAATGGTAAGCGGGGACCACCCTTGATTTCACTTTGTCCCTGGTTGTAGCTGAACTTCTGAAGACCCAGAGCCTAAAAAAGTGAGAGGTTAGGATCGAGGAAACCGATCTTAGGATCCTAGGGTCCTAGGACCTAGGATCTTAGAACCGATGAGCTTTCTACTAGAACTGGAGGAGCCGAACTGATTTCTAACTAAGTGCAAGAATCAGTGTCTATGCAGAGGAGCCTAGATATTAGAATGGGATGTGAGGAGTGTTTACAATTGTAATAATCATTTTGCTCTTCTGGAAAACAGTGCAGGGGGCCTTGGAGTTGAAATACGGAATGCAGATATACTTGTCTTCAGTAAGGGAAGATTTGGGTTCAGTCACATTAAGGTGGGATGAGCTGTCCGTGTCATGACTGAATATTGAAAATATTTATTAATTTTAGGTACAAGGACCATGTAGAGAGGATAAAAACAAGAAATACTAAGTTTTGCCTAAGTGGATAATACGAAAGTGATGTGGAAGACAATTATTTTGATAATTCTAGGGAAGGAAAAAATACTCTCATGTAGGTAAATGGGAAAATTTTTTTGGCTGAGACATTCAGATAATTTCCCACATTTCTATTTCACTTTCCTAGAACAGCCCTGTTTTAAATGAAGTATAACTGTGTGTGTATATATATTTCTCTCTCTACATATAGAAATATACATATAATTCTCTTTATATAAATATATGTAATTCTATATCTCTATTTATCTATCTATACTTCTCTTTATCAGAGCTATGGTACAACTTGTTTTGAATTTCCAGTTTGAATCCCAGAATCAACTGCAGTGACTCTATCTTGTATTTTGAGCAATAGTTCTGTAATTGATTGACACCCCTGCAGTAGCATTTAGTTATTGGGTTGTATGGTTAATATGGACATTGAAGATGAGTGGGGGGAGTAGTTAATTAGCAATTATTTTTTTACAAGGGTAGAAAACAATCACTTCATACTTTATAAATAACCAGAAGGTAAATTATTTTAAACACCTCTGTGACTTCTTGAGTTTGTAATCCTTTAATCTTCCCAGCAGTGCCCCTGGTGTCCAGAGGTTTAAACCCTCCTGACTCTTCTAGAGAGGAGACTAGAGAACTCAGGGTGAGTAGTTTGCTGCCGTCCCGTCCCCATATGAAGCCAAGCTCTGGGTGGTTCTACTGACTCTGCTCCCTGTGAAAGGGTGGTTACTTTTCTATCTTGTGCCCAGTGCCATTTTATAACCTCCTTGTAATCTAATTATTAGTTACTAAGTTCCCATTTGTCTAGGCCAAAAAAATGAATATTTATTCCTGTTATTTAATCTCTGCTTGGAACTTGGCCCTAAACTCTGGAAATTAAGGTCCCTCACATTTGCTCTCAGAACTTGCTGCTGTTCATCTCCTGCCTTGCCCTTGCTTGGTTAGGCACTCTGCTTTTGAAACTGGGACACCCCATATATAAGCTGCCTTTTTCTATTGTTTATTCAATCATCATTTTCCCAAAACTCAACAAAGACCGGTCTCCCAAATAAGAACTACTTTTGAGCTCACTTTTTTTTTTTTTTTTGCTACTGGTATATTCTTGATCTAATGCTTTGACACCCACCAGGGTCTAGGTTCCCAGTTTGTGCATGTTGGCTGTTCTATCCACTGACCACATTCTGATCCTGACTATCACTAAACCAAGTCTATTTTTGAAGATGGTATGCATGTGGGCTAGACATGAAAATATTTGAAAAGTCAGGAACGTTTAAAATAACTGCTCATCATATAATTTGATTATAGAAGATTCTTATGTTCTATTTTCAATAAAAGGTTTTTAGTGATTCTTCAGCGATGCTAGAAGCCTAGTTGAATTTCTTACGTCGTGAGGAAATAGGCCATAATTCAATTATTAGGAAATACTAGTATTTTATTTCAAGTGTTCTTATTTCAGTGTTGTCTCTAAATTTCAGTTGTTTGAAATGACTTCAAATCTTATTAGGATAATCTTGATTGTGTCGCTGATTTCCAAACCTGTAAGTGCAATGAATCAGCAGTTCCACTTGGAAAGAGAACCATTTTCAGTTGAATGAGAACAACATCACACTCACACCTGCAAAATCTGAAATGTCTAATAAAGTAGATTCCTATGTCTGAACTTCAATTTTAGGGCACAGCTGTAGATGCAGGACTGATGCCATCTGGTGCAGTTCCACAGAAAAAGAGATAAAATTTACCCAGAGTGTGCCATGTACTGGCTTTTCTGGGAATGACAAGGTGCCAGGATTTGTTTTTGGTTCATTCGCAGGGGTGGAAACTTGGAACGAGGTGAGTAAAATAGATGCAATATCCCCATTTATAGCTTGACATTTTATATTTCCAATTCTGTTTATAGTTTCAAAATAAGTGCGAAAGAGTTCATTTTTTTTTAATGGCCCAGCATTTTAACATTGTAAATAGTTAAACCATTTAGGATAGTGGGAAATGTTTACTTTTTCTAACTTATACCTACTAATCTAGGGACTTTTAGAATGCTAATGGTACTAATACAGTACATAGAAAATATGTACAGAGTACTGTACTTTGGCTTTAATTTTTATAGCTACTTTGAGGTAGGTGTGCTTATTTAAGCTAAAACCACAATTAAAACTCTGGTATCATTAGGAAATCACTGTCAAGTGTCTGTGTTACATACAAGGGAAAGCTAAAAACTGAGTTGCAGATCTTTGAAGTTAATTTGGCGGGGGTGTTGAATCAGTGACTTCAATTCTCAACACTACATTTCTTACTTTGTCCACACAAAATAAGATTATAGATTAAATAGTGATCTGATTAATTATCTGAGTAGTTAGCATCTTACTCCATAGGAATGTGGGCAATCAGGGCAGACCTGTGCTTAGAACAATAGTCAGAACATAATAGGCATTCAGAAAAAACTTCCTGATGAAGTAAGCTAAAAATCCTCTTGTTTTCCTTAATAGCAGCTATTTTATGTAATAAACCTAATCATTTCTTCCACTGTTGCACTGTGTAGACATGGGTAGGTTGAAGTTAAAATTTTTATACTTTTGTTTTATTAGTATGACTCTATGAATTGAACTTTATTGAATATATATGATTCTTCAGGCAAGTGTTTTTACAGTAAGATAGAAATCTTGCTTTCCTATTGGGAATCAAGACAGATGGCTACCTCAGAAATAGAGTAGGAAGTTACTGGACCGAACAGTAGCTTAAACAAAGTAGGGGTTTTGTTTCGTTCTCATGTGACTAGGAGGTTAGGGGTAAACTATTGCCGGTGTTCTTTAAGCAGCTCACAGATGTCAGGGTCAAGGTAGCCCCTGAGGTTTCCTTGGCTTTTCCCTTAGGTTCCAAGATGGTTGCTGCAGCTCCCCCAAGAAGATGAAGGAAGCTGAAAGGGAAAACAGGGCATACCATTTTGATTCTGCTTCCTTTTAAAGAGCTTTCTCAGAAGCGCAGCAACTTTTACTTACATCTCATTGGCCAGACTGTGTCATATCTGCGAGGTTGCATGAGAAATGTAGTTTTTGTAGCTGGACAGATGATTGCCTTCAACAAAAAAATCTGAGGAAATCTAAGGAAAAAAGATGATGGTGGATCTTTGGGGAACAAACTAGCAGTCTGTGCCCTGGTTACAAAATACAGTTGTCAAGGAGCATAATGACTGAAACAGATCAAAACTGTAACTCCTTCACAACTAATAGTACTCCAAGCAACACTGCTCTGCCCAGAGAGTGAGCAGAGTGAAGACATCCTAGGTTTTTTCTTGAAACACCTGCCAGAACTGGCTTTCGCAGTCAGCCGATATGCTTGCCCCACATCAGGATTTTCTAGAGGAGGACCCTGGGAACCTTACACTTCCTTGGAGGACATAGTCTATGGAAGTTTGGAACAGGATAAAGAAGGCTGTACCTTGCTGCTTTCCCATCTGCTTCATGTATCTCTAATTCTCCTTACAGATTTTTGGTGGAGTCTTGTTTGATCCCCATCAAAGGATCATCCCTTTCATACATAGGAAAAAGTAATCTATGTAAAGAAAGGCTACTTTACTCCTTTCTGTGACTCTACCACCTATCTAGGAATATCCTGGGAGAAGACTTGCTTCTCAAAGCTGCTTCCATAATCAGCCTACATCCTGCCTAAGCAAAGGAAGAAGAAACACTTCCCACATCCAGGGCTGTCCAAAAGAACTTTCTGTGATGACAGAAATGTTCTATATTTGCACTGTCCAATATGGTAGCCACTAGCCATGTGTGACTAGTGAACACTTGAAATGTGGCTAGTGTGAATGAGGAAGTAAATTTTAATTTTATTTAATTTTAAATAATTAAAATGTAAATAGCCATATGTGGCTAGTGGCTGTTGTATTGTACAGCACAGTATACAACTTTCTTTTTCTTGCGTTTTCCAACTACCTGGGAGGGGTTTGAGCTAGTCATGTGCTTGGTGTTCCATCATCTTCACTATCCCACCTTGCCATTGAACTTGTGTCCCAGAGAAAAGGAAAAATAGTATCCTAGAACTAAAGTCAAGATGTTAACTTGATATCTATACATTGTACGGATTTCTGTATAAATGGAATGATCTCCTGGGAATGGGTCCTGTGATTGATGTTTGTGATAATTGATGGTGGAGAAATGGTGGTGGTGCTGGTCCACTTACCATTCCTAGTGAACATTATGCGTTCCTAGTCAGAGTGAGTCAGCAGGAATAATTTTGTTCTGTTGTGCAATTCGTTCTGGTTTATTTTTGTAATATTGTGGCTGCTAAGTGATTATTCAATGTGTGTTTTTCAAAATACTTAGTGGTTTATATTTTTTAAAAGGCTGTGAAATAAAATAATTATATGTAACTCAGTTTTTTGTGTGTGTGAGTTATTCTTACCCATAATTTTTAAAGAGTTAATTAGGACAAGGTTAATGGATAGAAGGAAATATTTATGATTTATTTATTTATTTTTAAAGATTTTATTTATTTATTTGAGAGAGAGAGAGAGAGAGCACAAGCAGGGGGAGCGGCAGGCAGAGGGAGAAGCAGGCTCTTGGCTGAGCAGGGAGCCCGACGTGGGGCTCCATCCCAGGACCCTGGGATCATGACGCGAGCCGAAGGCAGACGCTTAACTGACTGAGCCACCCAGGTGTCCCTTGACATCTTTTGGTGATGGCTTAGATTGTTTATTTCATATGGGCAATCTTGGATATTCCTGCTTAAGTTTATGTTTAAGCATTTTATAGTTTTGGTTGATGATATATAGGGGTTGTTTAGTAGCTATTGCTCATAAAAGAAAGCAATTTATTTTTATACATTGACCTTATATCTGGATCCTTATTAAACTCTTCTATTCATTGTAATAATATATTTTTTCAGTGATTTTCTCGGATTTCCTAGGTGTTCAATCATATTGTACAAATAATGAGTTTTGTTTATTTGCAACCTGCATTTATGCAGTTTATTTCTTTTCGTAGAACAATGACCAGGACAGCTAGTACAACATTAAGTACTACTGGTGATAATGGGCATTCTTGTCTTTTATCTTATTCCTAATTTAAATGATTACACTTCTAATGTGTAACCTTTAAGTATTATATTTGTTACAATTTTCCTATGTTTTTCTCTTCTTTTTTTTTCATTTTTTCATGTGAACGTTTGTTGTTTTCTTTTCTGACCTGTTTTCTTTTTCTCAACAATATGTTTTGAGTAGCTTTCCAAATCCAGAAGTATATAGATAAATAATTTTAAATGTCTGCATAGTATTTCATTGAATATACATACTAAAATTTATTTACCTAGTCTTCTATTGGTAAACAAGTATATATATTTAACATGTTAATATATATGTATATAAGCTACACTGCTTTGAATCTCTTTGTACAAACAACCTTCGCATCTGTTTGATTCCTGACAGTTGGATAGCTTTGTGTTAAATGTAAGGGTGGTATCTAACTAACTTTATTGTGCATTGTTACATACTGTTGAGGGCTGAATTGCCCTCCAGAAAGGATATACCAATTTATACTGTCATCAACAGTGAAGGAGTGTGCCCATTTCCCTCTACCCTTGCCAACTCTGCATTTTGAGGATCTTTTTACTCTACAAATTTGTTAGGTAAAAAGTGATCATTTGTTGCTTTTATTAGCATTCATTATGTTATTAGTTTGAACATTGATAATTTCTCTTTCTTCTTTTGTGAGTTGCCTATTCATATCTTGCCCTTTCTTCCTATTAGGGCATTCTTTAGTTCCTTATGGATGTTTTGTTGATATTTATTTTTATTCCCTTGGAGAACGTTATTTTTTTATAATTAGGAAGACAGTGAGGTTAAATCACACTTCCCTCCCTAACTACCAGTCAGTCTCCATTTCTTCTTTATGGTTACTAGATTCTTATGTATACTTCTAGACTTATGAAATATATATTCATACATATATATCTTTTTTATTCACACGAATGAAGCCGCACTATTTGCACATTGTTTTGTACCTTGCATTAAAAATACTTACTGAGCACTCACTATGTACCAGGTACAATCCTACTTTTTTTTTTTAAAGATTTTATTTATTTATTTGAGAGAGAGAGAGAGAGTACAAGCGGGGAGGAGGGTCAGAAGGAGAGGGAGAAGCAGACTCACCACTGAGCAGGGATCCCAAAATGGGGCTCGATCCCAGGAGTCTGAGATCATGACCTGAGCCAAAGGCAGATGCTTAACTGACTGAGCCACACAGACGCCCTCACAATCCTGCTTATTTGGGATATATTAGTGAACAAAAAAGATAATTCCTTCCCTCATAGAGTTTACTTGTATTCTGTATGTAGTGCTGCCTGTTTTTAACTGCTCTATAGTATTCCATGGGTAAAGGAAGCATAATTTACTTATCCAATTCTTTCTTAATACATATCTAGTTGTTTCTAGGTATTTGCTATTACTAACAACACTACATAATTTTTTGACATAAATCTTTAATCAATATGTCCATATATCTGGAGGAATTTCTGGGTATGTGTATTGTGTAAAATTTTTTGTTATAGAAATCAGAAACATAAAAGTAAAGGGAATATTGCTTCAAATTTATTTTCTTTGATCATTACAAAATCTTACTTATTTTTATTTGTTCTAAATAATTTTCCATGTATGGATACACTATATTTTGTTTGTTTATCCATTCACGTATTAAAGGACATCTTGGTTGCTTCGAAGTTTTGGTAATTATGAATAAAGCTCTGCCATTCTGTTTGCTTTCTTCTGGAAGCCGTCCAATTTGATAATATTCCACTTAAAAAGTGGGCTGTTTCGCATGGGTGTGGCTAAAATAAGTCCTCTCATATACTCAGGTAGAAGTTGGAATCTGAAGAGATACACCGGAGGGCAATTTGGCATATCTATTAACATTTAAACTGCATACGAGCAGGAATTCCCCTTTTCCTATCTCTTATAGAGAAATGCAGATGTGCAACAGGTAACGTTTACATCTGGCAGTCAGTCCATTTACAATAGGTCAGCAGCTGGAAGTAAAGGAAGCTGGGCCCCGTGGATTAGAGCAAAGGGTAAGCCTCCCCGACTCGCCAGAATTAGAAAGCAAGGCAAAGAAACTGAGGCAGAAACCTAGTCATATGGTCTAGGCTAACACAGTGAGGAGTAGAAATAGGTTGTGAATCAGAGTTTTACCTCAGGCTCACTGGCTGGCTGGTTGGTGACAGAAGAGCTGATTCCAGATTCCCCGTTGCCAACGCGAGTCGGCAGGCTGAGACGGCTGGTACACTTTCTAACCCGGTCGGCACGGCAAATTCTTGCCAACAGAGGCTGGGGTTGAAGGAACTGGAAACCTTCATCCAGAATATTACCTCCACCCATGCAAAATATGAAACATGATTCAGTGGTTTTCAGATGGCTTAATTTCTAAGTGTTTTACAAACTATTTTTTCCTCTCTCTCTCTCTTTTTTTTCTCCTCTCTTTTTTAAAGAAAGAGAGTGGGGGGGGGGCAGGGAGAGGGAGAGAATCTCAAGCAGACTCCGCCCTGAGCCCGGAGCCTGATAGGGGGCTCGATCCCAAGACCTGAGATCATGACCTGAGAAGAAATCAAGAGTCGGATGCTCAACCCACTGAGCCACCCAGGTGCCCCTACAAACTATATTTTTAAAGATAGAATTTTGATGTGGATTGATATTAAGCCCTCCTTCAGAATTTCCAGAATCCTCTCTTTACCCCTACTCACTCTGCCTGCCTTTTGAAAACACGACCATTTTCCTGCCTCCAAAATCAAAGTTCCCACCCCGTTGCCCATGATTCCTCTGCATGCCTTGCAGCCCTGGTGTGGAAAGCACCTCTGCCAGGCTTGGCTTCTCAGAACCCCAGCAAGGGAAGGAAGGCGTTTGGATCCCAGCTTTTCTGATCGCTGAAATCACCAATTGCTCCACTGTTTGCCTCTGTGCCAGTTTTTCCTCAGACTTAAACTGCATTATTATATCTGATATTGGGCCAGCTTACCTATCTTGTAAGAATTTCATTTTTCTTTCAACTGAAATGGTCTCGCAACGATCATTTATGAATTTCTCTCAGTCTCTATCGGCTAGCTCTAATCTGTTAAAGAGACGTTGCTTAAAACCTTAGACAACGGAGCCGGACTCTTGCGTTTACATCCCCGGTCCATCACTTCTCTGTGCTTCAGTTTACCATCTGAATACTGCCAAATACTTTGAGCATATGTGACCATATGTGACATATATTACGTGCTCAATAAATGTTAGCTAGTCTTTCTAAATTCGACAAGGTATACTTCTTCCAACACTTTATTTTAGGTAATTGTTCCATCTCCCAAGAGCTTCTTTTGTCTGATACAGCACTCATTTTCCTTTGCTAAAATTTCAGGTTAACTTGATTTATAACCTATGTTTTGTTAATTTATATATAGACATGTGAGTTTGTGGTACTGTCCCTAATTCGACACTTTGTTTTTTTGCCAAGACTTATCGGTCCGCTCCCATGCTATTGTTCTTCTCATGTCATACCTGGTATTCTCTGGAGGTGTACAGTTTTAGCTGGGCATTTTTCCTGCCCTGCATATGTCAGATTGGTACCTTCCTGCCAAATGTGTTCTTTCCAGCCCATGCAAACACACTCCAGCCGCTGCGGGAGCCCACTGGCACAGAACTCTAAATTCATCCCTACCCATAAAGGAAGCTGGCTGGTCACCTCTCACATCCTTCTTTATCTTGCAAAGTCACGGCCTTTTCCTGGAAGTCAAGATAAAAACACATCCTGTGCCCTGGGGTTCTTCAGCTTTCTGCCCAGAACTTCAAAATGCACAGAGAGACATTTTGGAGAGTTCCGCCTATATTCTGTGTGCCCTGATGAACCATTAGAAGTTAGTAGTACTAAGAGGATTTGATCAATGTCGGCAGACTCTGATCTAACTTGGATATGATCAAGAGCCAAACATATATGGGCACATAGCTAATGAGTATCTGAGTAGTCAGGGAGCAGAGAGATGCAAGGTTAGGCTCTAAATATTTCTAGTGTGAAAGTTCTGATGTTCAGGAGGGTCTGAAGGGTTATACACTCATTATGTTTGTGAGGTTTCTGCCCACCCAGGCAGCTGAAGATGCTCCCAGGGTCTCCACACATGTGCCCTCTCCAGCGCACGTTCTGTGATGAAGAACAAGGACAGCAGGGACTGCAGTGTTTTTCATATTCATTAGACCTAGAGATTTTATTTCATGTAGAGAGATTCTGAATTATAATAGAAACCTTTTCCATATGTATAATCTTAAAGGAGTCCTTTCTCCTGAAGGAATTTATAATGTATAACAAGAGGCGAGCTCAGACCTCAGATGTGAGGTTCTCCCCACATTCATTAAATTCCTAGCCTCTCTCTCTATTTTTATCTGGGAAACCTTTGTGCTAGGAGGGGGAGTCTGCCTTTAGGATTTCATCTTACCCCTCAGATCTGCCCTCAAAAGTCACAGTTCCCTTCAAAAGGGGGACTTTGAGTCGTCTTTTGACGATTTCCACTGGCACCCACCACGTGTCTTCATCTTGGGGGAATGATAATACGAGTGTCTGTAATGTTAAGTGTTTACCACGGAGCGGGCACTGTGCTCAGGTCCGTTACTCAGTCTCCAACACACCCCCGAGGAGGGTGCCATTATTATGCCTGTTATTTTCCCCTTACCTCCTTTCTTCTTTACACTTTGCACCCACAGCATATGGTGTCCCTAAATCACCCTTGGCTTTGGGTCCCGGGGTCCTTTGCTGTGACCAGAGGACTCAGCAGCCCCATTTTGGGGAACACATTGCCAACCCGATCTCAATACTTTATTCAGCCCATGAGCTCTTATGGCCACCAGATGGGAGTATTGGGATTATAAAGAACTCTCTCTGTCTGTCTCTCTCTCAAACAAATAAAAATAAATAATCTTAAAAAAAAAGAACTCTTCAGAAAACAAATTCAGTGCGATTGTAAATCCACCTCGAACAGTTTTGCATGTGATTTTAGTAGATAAAATGCCTGTCTAAATCAAAGCCAAACTTCTTTTGCAGAAGCACATTTTAACTATTTCAAGATACCAGAAAGTGACTTGTATCAGGAGCATTGAATTGTTTTGAAGATGTTAGAACTCAACACACACACACCCTTAAGCACAAACATTCTTAGATTTACAGTTCTTATTGTTAGTTCTAATGGTTTCCCGTAAATGCATAGTTTAGCATTTCCTAGGCTGGTGCTTCTCACATTTGCTCCCAGTGGCAGAGGAGAGAGTAAACAAGTCTTCCAAGAACTGTGGACTCACCTACAGTGGCCCCTTGGGAAAAACAATGCCTTTGAAGTCTCAGGTTTCACTTCACAAGTTGTGTGGATTTTAATACATATCAGTGTTTTTAATTACAAAAACGACATTAAGTAACGTGGCCGTGGCTGGGAAATGCGGCATGCTTATCTCACAGTCAGTTTTGGGAGACTGGTACGAAAATTTCTGGAAGGGCAGGAAAGGAGTAGACGTGCCAGTAGGGAGCTTTTCAATGTTTGCCTCCCTTGGGATTTTCTGGTGGTTATCTTCTGTGGTGTTTCATTTCTATTTGCTCCTGAGATTCTCTTTCATTCTGCATCTTGGCCTTTCATATTTTTGGCTATTTTTATTAATATTTTGGCTATTTTTCCAACGAGTATGGTCTTACAAAAACGGGGCTCAATTTTTGGCCTTCAGCAATGCCCTTTCTTCAATTCCCAGGATTACTTACTCTTACTTTCATGAGTCCCAGACTCCTTCCTAAATTAAACCTTTCTGATGATTCAAATTTCTTTCACTTCCTCATCTCAATACTGTTCACTTTGTAAGATTTTTTTGTTTCTCATTTCAATACTGTCCACTTTGTAAGATTTTTTGTTTGTTTTAAAAATAACTAAATTACATATATATGTATATATGTATATATATAGCAGTCCCACGTCTTTTATTTATTTATTTATTTATTTTAAAGATTTTTTTGGGTACACATTTAGTTTTATTGTAACAAAGCAACTTGTACACTTTTAACGTTTAAAACTGAGCATCATCTTTCCTTTCCAGTGAAACAAAAAGAAAATTTAAAAATAAACAGGAACAAAATTACAATAGAGAATGTCAATTCCAAGTAAGATCCTACAGGTTCTGCTGATTCTCCCATCGAGTGGCAGGGCTCAAGTCATCATTAGGAGAG